AATTAAAGGAGATGGAAAAAGCAGCTAGGGGCAGCTAGGTGGTGCAGTGGATAGAGCACTGGCCCTGGATTCAGGAGGACCTGAGTTTAAATCCGACCTCAGACACATAACACTTACTAGCTGTGTGACCTTGGGCAAGTCACTTAATCCCATTGCCTAGCCAAAAAAAAGAAAAGAAAAGAAAAAAGAAAAAGCAGTTAGGTATTGTGGTAGATAGGGTCCTAGACTCAGAGTCAGAAAAGTCCGGGTTCAAATCCTGCCTCAGACACTTATTAGCTGTGTGTCCCTGGGCAAGTTATTTAACCTCTTTCAGACTTAAATTTCCTCATCTATAAAACAGAGATAACATCACCTACCTCTCAGGGCTGTTGTGAGGATAAAGTGAAATAGCAAATGTAAAGGGCTTTGCAAATGTGAAAGTAGTTAGACAGCTAGAAGGAGTATTAGGAGAGTGTAATACCATGGAAGCCAAGGTAAGATGACAAGGAATTTGGAGAGGATAGGTCAACATGGTTCTTAGAACCACCAAACTACAGAATCTCCGAGTTGGAAGGGAATTCAAAGAGGGCGAAATCCATCAGCCTTCACTTGGTCCTTCACTTGGTCCTCTTGTAACATTAGCTCATGGTCCATCATCTTGGTTGTGTTCCTCTGGATACCCTCCAGTCTATCAATGCCTTCCCTCAAATGTGACATCGAGAACTGAACACCATTGTCCAGATTTTGTCTGATCAATACAGTGTCATTGTCACTTCCCAAACCCTGGATACTATGCCTCTCTTAATGGACACTGAGATGGTCTTAGCTTTTTTGCTAAGAACTCTATTAATTAATTATTAATTATTTATTAATTTATTAATTATCAATTAACTATTAATTATTAACTCATATTGAGCTCTATTCCCAACAAACTGCTATTTAGACATGCCCGCCCCATTTTGTACTTCTAAAGTTAATTTTTTAAAAAATCAAATGTAAAATATATAAAAGTCTGACCATGTCACTATCCTGCCCCAAATAGCTCTGTTGGCTACCTGTTGCCTCTGAGATCAAATATAAACTCTGGTTTGTTATTTAAAGCATTTAACAATCTGGGTTCAACCTACATTTCTAGACTTATATATTATTCCCTTTGAGCATTCTATGTTCCAGCTAAACTGGTTTACTTACCATTAGTAATTTGCCCAGGCTGTTCCCCTCCTTCCCTCATACCTGGAATCCACTCCTTCCATCTTAGTGGAATGGGGGTTTGGAGAATGTTCAGACCACCCAAGATGGTATCACCCTTGTGGAAGGCACTAGGGAATTGCTTTTGGGAGAATGGAGGGCTGTAGCAAGAGTGGACATTGTGTGTTGAACTACTGCAGGGTTGGAGGTAGCCTTTTTCCATTGGCTATGTAGCCAGAACAGCTAGTCTTTTAAAAACAGCCCGACATAGCACCTGAAGGGTTTTGGGGGCATTTATGTCTGAGGGTGAAGGATTCTTTCACTCATACTATGTAGTAAGTTGTGGGGAGAGGGTGGGGAAGGGATGCTTCCTTCTCCCATCCCCCACCCGCCCCCACTTTAGGCCATATGGTTCCAAGAAATGAGCCTATGTATTTGGCATTTTTGTTCATTCTTTTCCATTCTAGTTTCAGGGAATACAATCTGAGATCTGACCCAGAAGCATGAGCCATGGGATCCAAGAGCCCAAAAATCCAGGCCAGGTGTTGCAGATAGCCCAGAACAAGCAAGCCATGAGGAGCAAGGTCTAGGGATGCTAGCCAGCCCAGCTGGGTTTTGGACTTGAATTTGGTGGTGGGAATAATACGAAGTAGGAATTGAGCTAAACTGTGAGCCTAATCTCTCCTTCCACAGAGGCCAAAGTAGTATTGGGGAGCAAGAAGTGGAAGGGAATTATGCCCAAGGTTGGGGGGAAATATTTGTTACGTCTTTGAAGTAAACCCCTTTGTAAAAGCTAACCTGATGTTAAGATAGTTAAATAGAACAGGGGTGCTAGCCATTGCGCACCTAAAACGGGAGGAACAAAGCTGGTGTGGGCTTGAGCCAATGGCTGAGACTCCTCAATCTCCCTCCGGGTACTGGAGAACCCTGTGGTGGGTACGATGTAAAGGGCCAACTGGTTCTGACAGAGTGAACCCGGTCATAGAGGTTACATTAGAATTTCATTTGTTGTTATTGTTGAATCATTTCAGTCGTGCCCGACTTTTCATGACCCCAATTTGGGGTTTTCTTAGCAAAGATACCTGAGTAGTTTGCCATTTCCTTCTCCAGTTCATTTTACAGGTGAGGAAACTGAGGCAAGCAGGGTTAAGTGACTTGCCCAGGGTCACGCAGCTAGCGAGTGTCTTAGGTCACACTTGAACTCAGATCTTCTTGACTCCAGGCCTGGTGCTCTATCCACTTGACTAGTTGCCCTTAGAATTCTTAGTTTCTTTCTAAACTCCCCAAAGCCCATCTCTTCCAGTAGGTCTTTCCTATTCCCCTCAATGACTACCCTCATTATAGAAATGACTTTGTACAGTATTAAATTTGTATATTTTGTAATTATTTGCTGTTTGCTTGCTCCCTCTTCACCTTTCCCACTTCCCTCCATGCAAATTCCTTGAAGATAAGGACTATTTTCTTTGAAGTCAGCCTGGCACACAGAAAGTAATTAACAAATGCTTGCTGATTCAGTGCTCAGCCCTTGGGAGAAGTAGAGAAGGCATTACAGTTAGGTGACCTAGGGGTGGTGATTAGCAGGGTGGGAACAGCAAAAAGACAAAGGGGAAAAGGATTTTGAAGGCAAAGGTCCTAAAGCCATATTTAGGTGATCAAAAGGATGAAGGTAGGAAGGTCTCCAGCATTTTGGGTGGACACTCTGTGGCTAACTTTTGGGAGGACACAAAGAAGAATCACACAGTATGTGCAGGTATGGATGGGATGCCATGTGTATCATTGATGGAACTCTGAAATAGATAGGATCACAAATATATTTGAATATTTGAGAGTATGAATACAAAGGGAAACAAAGTAGAAATTTGGCAAGGGTTGGTCTAGACATACCTCCCAACTCTAAATTCTATGGTCTTTTTTTTTTTAAGAACAGTTATAGTTTATTTTTTTATTTTATTTTTCTTCAATTACATATAAATAAAAAATTTTTTAACATTTTTTTCTTTGACCCAGAACAGCTCTCTGTACATCTCACTTCTCATTTTCAGACTTACTATAGGAAATTGCTATTGAGGACACACTTACTACTAGTATTACTAAGAAAAAAAAAAACCCCCAAAACCACAGCAACCTGGTATTTCTTTTTAAAAATTAATGTTTTTTTCACTTAACAAGCCTTAGTTTTCTTCCCACCTCACCCCACCCAAAGGAAGAAAAAGGGAAAGGAAGGAAAAAAGAAAAGGAAAGAATGAAAGAAGAAAATAAAAGTCTTGTTACAAATATACAAAGTCAAGCAAATCAAATTCCTATATTGATTGGCCATGTCCAAAAATACAGGCCACATTGCCTCTCTATCATTGGTCCTCTGGAATTGTGGTTGGTCATTACACTGATCAGAGTTCTCAAATCTTTCAAGAAAAGTTGTTTTTCTTTACAAAGCTGTTGTTATTGAATACATTGTTCTGGTTCTGCTTGTTTACTTCACCTTTGCATCAGTTCATACAGGTCCATCCAGTTTTCTCAGAACCTGTACATTTCCTCATTTCTGATGCCATTCTTATGCCATCATTTTCCAGCTATTCCTGAACTGATGGACACCCCCTTATTTTGCCACTTGCTGTAAGTATCTGCCCATACCAGCACCTTTTCTCTTTCTTTGACCTCTTTAGGGTTTCTGGCCTGGGTCAGGGGAGATGTGCAGTTTAGTGACTTTGGGGGTAGAGGTCCAAACTGCTCTCTGGAATGACTGACCGACTGTGCACTGGACAGTGACTGACATCTTTCTAGTGTTTTAAAGTTTCAAAGTACTTTACACAGATCTCACATTTGTGTCTAACAAGCTAGGGAAGAAGCCTTTATATGGATGATTATCCTCCCGGTTCCCGGGTGAGGAAACACCCTGTGCTTAAGTTGACCAGCACTTATTAAGCACCTACTGCGTGTGGGGTGGGGGGAGCGTTGAGCTGAAGATCACTGGGGATGGGAAGGCTGGACTACAAGCGCGGGACAGGGCTGGGGCAGGCTCGGCCAGTGGGAGGGGAGGTGACCTGCCCCCACCTCCCGCCCCCCGCTGGTTTCCAGGCCGGGGGGAGCGCGGTGAGGGGCGGTGTCAGGGGCTCGCTCGCCCGGCCGTGGTGGTCTGACGGGCCCGGGCTGCAAGCTCCGCCTCGTGGGCTGGCATGCCACGGACTTGCGGGGCCTGCGGCTCGGGGGTGCTCTCATCCCCACTCTGGGATGCCCTCCCTGCATCTGCTCAAACTCGTAGAGGGCAGCCTTAACTTTCAGGCTCCTGAGCTGACTCAGCTTCGCGAGCGCGCCTCGGGGCCGCGGCCCGGACCGACACCCCGCTCTGACTCGCGGACCTCTGGCGGGTACCTCGGACCCGGGTCACCAGGGGCCGCCGGGGGTAAGTGGGAGCGGCACCAGGGGGCGCCGAGGAGAGCGAGGGTCTGCGAGACTACCAGCGCGCGGGGGCGGGGAGTGGGGCTGGGGACGATAGAGAGGTCACGGAGCGGGGCCAGCGCACGGAGCCAGGGAGGGGAGAGGGGGCGATGTGGCAGGGCGTGCACCGGGCAAGACTGGAACTGCTCGAGCTGGGGTGGGGAGACGAGCGCGCGCAGCAGCCGGAGCGGGAGGGAGCGCGCGGGGCGTCAGACAGGGCTGGGGGAGCGCGCGCCGCGGCGGAGGCGGGGGAAGGGGGGGCGGGGAGCAGCGGGAGCCGCGGCGCACGCTCGCGGTGTCCCGGGGCTGAGGGGCCGTGGAGGGAGGCTGGGGCTCCGTGGGGCGGAAGGCCGGGCGGGAGGCGGGGCCGCCACCGGGGTCGGGGCGGATTGACTCACTCCCGGCGTTCAGTTTCCAAGGGGGCTGAGGTGGCTGACCGAGGGGCAGGAGGCGGCGGGTCACGGCGGAGCGCAGGTCAGGGGCTGGGGCTGGGGCCGGGGCGGGGGGCGGGGCCGCGCCCTGGGAATGAATTCCGCTGCTGGGTGGACGACGAGGAGGAGGGGGTGGGGCAGGCCGGGAGGGTGTCACGGGAAGAGCGGACTGCCGTCGGAGGCCCCGCGTGGACTCGCCGCCCTCGGGCCCTGCCCTTCCCACGCCATGGGGCCGACGGCTCGTCCCGCGGGCCCTAGACCCGAGTCAGTACGTAGCCGACATTCGTGGGGCGCCCCGCTGGGCTCCGCGTGCCGCCTTAGCTTATTTGAACCAACGACCCTGCGACATAGGGCCCCCATTTTATTACCCCCATTTTACAGATGAGGAAACTGAGGCCGAGATAGGGTGTCTTGTGCCAGACGTCCCAAACGCGCTCTTCACCCCCTTCCCCCAGTTTCTTTATAAGAAGTTGGAAGGGAAAGGAACGTTGAAGGGTCGCCTTGAAGTTGGTGAGAGATGGGGGTCAGTGATTTAGGAAGCAGGTATATGACCAGTCTGGCTGGAGCCTCAGGTTTGGTCCCCATGGTGTGATAGTCAAAGGAATGCTTATAAAAGTTGCAGCAGGTTCTCAGGTCCACAAGGCATCAACTTCCCGAAACACACGGAGCTTGCTTAAGCATCGGAAAGGAAGTTTTGAGGTCAGACGAGTCGTTTGTATAGGGGAGTAAGGAAACCGGAGCCAGAGAAGGGAAGGGCGAAATCACAACAGAAGCAGAGGGAGACCAGTGACAGCTGATCTTTAGGAACTTTTTTCTTTATTCCCATTTTACACTGCAGAAATGGAAGCTTGGAGAAAGGAAGTGTTGTCCGAGATGACCAAAGTCAGTTACAGAGCCAGCCAAGAATAGAAACGAGGATGACTGACTCCAAAGCCAGGGCAGTATCTGTTAGACCATATCATGTGAATCTCTAAGGACAGCCTATTTAATGGTGTTATACATCACAGTTTCTTACATAGTTAATCCTGATTTTGATTAGCAAAACAGTCTTAAGGGGCAGGAACTCTTCCTCTAAATAGTATATTTTATAATATTGATAACATTATATGCCGTTAAAATTCTGGCTGGAAAATAACTCCCTTAATAGGGGAGTAGTCACTTTAACTGCAACAAGTCACGTGGTAAAAAACACCTACCTTCTTAGACTATCAATTTTCCTCTCCTAATTGTACATTACATCCTGTTTCCTGTATGTACCAGTAAGAAAAAATATTATTTCATACTTAGATACTCTTTTACACTGTAAAATTGTCATTCTGCATTTATGGTCAATTTTACTTGTTACAGTAATTTACACTCTAGTATTACAAAAAAAAATTTTTAAGGTCTGAACTAAAATGATTCTAAGACTAGGCATACATTGGCTAAAAGTTTTTCTTAGTAATTAGTGATTCTTTGGGACTATAACTTGGTGGTAAGGCCTACACTTGGAGTTTAGGAGTTCTCTAATTTGCTCTCTGTGTAGTTGAATTATAGAGGACATTAATGAGATTAGGGTTTATTCAAATCAGTTTACCTGTAGACTAATCGCTAGAAGGGAATGTAGAGGTCATCTAGTCCAAACTCTTCATTTTATAGATAAGAAAACAGTTCTGGAAAAATCAATGTCTTCTGAGACTGATGTGTTCAGTCACATGTGAACCTTCCAAGATTTTTCTGAGTTAATTAAAAAAAAACTTCATAATGACCTGAACCAAGGAAGTAGGCAAGTCACATCGCCTCTCTGGCTCAAAGTTTACCTATCTGTAAATTAAACTAGATTATTTTAAGTCCCTTGCTTTAAAATTTTATGATTCTCTTAAATAACTGATGTAGGTAATTTTTTAAAAATGCTGTTGCGATTACAAAAATATAATTGAACTTTTTACTATAGATATGAAAATGTTTTGTCTCTTTTGCTCTGTGTATGACGTACAACTGTGGTGTCAAACTCCAGTAGAAATCGATTGTGCATAAGGATCCTTGCAGCAGCGTATTGATCTAGAAAAGCACATGTTAACATCTATGTTCTGTTGTATTTTTATTTATTTTGTTAAATATTTCCTATTTACATTTTGATCTAGTTTGGGCCTCAGTAAGCAGCGTTTGACAGCTCTGATATACATAATAGTATATGACTGGAATGCTATGCAGTACAATGCAACAAAAGATGTCTTCTGTGATGCACTTGAGCAACTTTGGCTCAGAGGAGAAGTGATCAAAGTGTCTAAATGAGCTACTAGTAGTTAATTCTTTGTATTATATGCAAATCTGTCTGCTATATAAATATAGTCTTAGAAGCTTCATTACCCACTTGCCCATATGTGTACCTGTTCTCATTTTCATTTCTTCTTTTTATGGAAGCATAACTACAGTCCAGTTCTCACACAGAGGAAATAGAATGGCAGTTCCCTCATTTGCTTTCATGTATCTGAAGCTGAGGAACAAGGTGTTGAGCCTCTAACCATTGTAAGTGACTCAGGTGCTCTTCGCTGTGTGTTTTCTGTCATTTTTCCTATCAGATCTAACCCTTGTCTTGATTTGGAAAGTTTTTACGAGGAAATCATGAAGTTTCTGCTTCAACCCAGTAGACCCCACCCTTAAAAAATTGTGCGCTTTAAGGATAACAGAAGTAGACTCTTTTCTGTCTTTAGTATCTGTACAATTCCACAATAGCAAATAGTTCATTCATTCAACAAATACTTATTAGGAGCTTAATGCAATATGCAAGACATTGTAGGAGACAGTAAATTGAACAGTAGAGGATTCCTGACTTCAAGGAATTTATACACAAAGTAGGTGGAAATGTTTAAGTGCTGACATTTTATTGTACCCATTGAAATATATCACAGAGGCAGTACCATTAGTGTCCTCCAGAGATTTGGCATTATATCACTGGTTCTGAAATTATTACTTTGATATTTCATTGATCTATGATTTCCTTTTCACTATAGATCACATCTCCAGCGCTTATTAGAGCTTCATTAGTTGCTTTGAGGGAGAATATCATCTGGTGGCCAGCTTTCTGGTGATGAGTTTTGTCCAGGCTGGCAGTGATGTGAAACCAGTTGGGGTAGAAGTGGGAATAAGTGGGGGGGGGGGGGAAGATGACCACCTGCTAACACTACTTGATCCTCACAACAATAGGAGGTAGGTGCTATTATTATCCTTGAGGAAACTGAAGCAAGTAGAGGTTAAATGACTTGCTCAGGATCACAAAACTAGTTAAGTGTCCAAGACTGGATTGGAATTCAGGTTTTCCTGATTCTAGGCCCAGCATTCTATCCATTGTGGCACCTAGCTGTCCCAGCTTTTTACATTGTGTATATTGGCTTCCTGGTTTTGCTTATTTAACTCTGGATCAGTTGAATAACATATGTAAAGTGTTTTGCAAACCTTAAAGCACTGTAAGTATGGGCTGTTGTTATATGATTTCCCATATTTCTCTGAATTCTCCATATTCATTTTTTCTTATAACACAGTAATACTTAATTACTTTCATGTGGCCTGGTTTGTTTAGCCATATGCCACTTAGCAACTATATTGTTTCCAGTTTTTTAATACTACAAAAAGAGTGACTGTGAGTGTTTGGGTGTATATAGGGCCTTTCTGGTTTTGACCTTGTAGCGTATATCTAACAGTAGAATCTCTGGGTGAACTTATTCTTAATGAAGAGATGAGTAAGGATAGGAGAAGGAGCAGTTGTATTTGGTGGGCTTTGGGTTTTAACCATTAGTCCTTTAATCTGTCCTCTCTGTCTAGATATTTGTCTTCTTTTCAGACTTCTCTCAATACCAGCAGACACTGTAAAAGAAGAGACAGATTTGGGGTTTTTTTTGTTTGTTTTTTTTTTAGGCAATTGGGGTCAAGTGACTTGCCTTGGGTCCCACAGGTAGTAAGTGTGCTCTATCCACTACACCACCTAGCTGCCCCAAGATTTGTTCTGAATTGGACAAACTGAACCATTTCTCCTTTTCTTACTAGGCACTGTCATTTCCCTCTGATACCACCCTCTTTTTTTTTTGTTTTCTTTTTTAAAATTAATTTATTTTTGGTTTTCAACATTCACTTCCATAAGCTTTTGAATTTTAAATTTTCTCACCTTCTCCTCCTCTGTCCCCAAGACAGCGTGCAAGCTGACATAGGCTCTACATATACATCCTATTAAACATATTTTCAGATTAGTTATGTTGTAAAGAAGAATTAGAACCAATAGGAACCACAAGAAAGAAGAAACAAAACAAAACAGAAGGAAAAAAAAAGAGCAAATAGTATGCATTCAAACTCCATAGTTTTTTCTCTGAATGTGGATAGCATTTTCCATCATGAGACTTTTAAAGATGTCTTAAATTCTTGCATTGCTGAGAAGAGCTCAGTCTATCAAAGTTAGTCATCGCATGATATGGCTATTACTGTGTACAATGTTCTGGTTCTGCTTGCTTCATTCAGCGTCAGTCCATACAAGTCTTTCCAGGTTTTTCAGAAGTCTGCTTGCTCATCATTTCTTATAGCACAATAGTATTCAATTACATTCATATACCACAGCTCATTCAGCCATTCCCCAATTGATGGGTATCCCCTCAATTTCTAATTCTTTGCTGCCACAGAAAGAGCTGCTATATATATTTTTGTACACGTGGGTCCTTTTCTCATTTTTATGATCTCTTTGGGATACAGCCCTTGAAGGGGTATTGCTGGGTCAAATTTGGGGTATGCACAATTTTATAGCCCTTTGGGCATAGTTCTAAATTGCTCTGTGTAATGGTTGGATCAGTTCACAACTCTATCAACAATGCATTAGTGTTCCAATTTTCCCACATCTTCTCCAACATTTATCATTTTCCTGTTTTGTCATGTTAGCTACCTCCTGGTTGTTTTGACTTGCATTTCTCTAATCAGTAGTGATTTAGAGCATTTTTTCATATGCCTATAGATAGCTTTAATTTCTTCATCTGAAAACTGCCTGTTCATATCCTTTGACCATTATCAGTTGGGAAAT